GAGCTCTTTTTTGGTTCCATATGAACTTTAAAGTAGTTTTTTCCAATTCTGTGAAGAAAGTCATTGGTAGCTTGATGGGGATGGCATTGAATCTATAAATTAGCTTGGCCTGCCCAGCTTTTAAAGCCAGCTTCAGCCAGCTTCTCTGGAAGGTCTTTCCAGGATTCTATAGAGGTGGTTTTCTTTTTCTTTTTTTTCTTTTCTGAGGACTTCCTTAGCACTTTGAAAATTATCCTATTATAGAGCACCTGACTGGTTTGAAACTATGCCTTTCTATATGTGTGTCTTCTTTAGGGTGTAAGCTTCTGGTAAGGGATTATGGCATTTATTTTTCATTGTCTCCTCCCAAAACAGGTAATGAACATTCTATGTAAATGCTCTTTGAGTAAACTCACTTTTGGATGTTGTATGGGGAGGGGGTGTAGAGGAGGGAGTTCATAGGTATTTGGGGCTCCCAGGAGAACAATATCATGTACTTGGAAACATAAGGCTTGCTTTTGAGGTTGACTCTCACTTTTTCTGTGAGTCCCACAGACAGTATTTAATTGCCTCTGTCCTTGTTTGTTCGCCTGTAAAGGAAAAACTAGTTTAATGCCAATTTATTTGGTTGGCTGGAAATAAAAACTTCTGATTCCTGTTTTTTTATATCATAATCTAATTGTGGCATTGACATCTAAAGTATTATTTTGTATTAAAATTAATTGCTTTTTAGATATATTGGGTAAAATCCATTTTGTTTAAACTTCCAATCCTTCTAAAAGCCATAATGTCCAAATGAGATTTGAGAGGAAGACGGGGGGAAGAGTCATTCTGTTACCTGGTTTTCTCCCCTGCCTGACTTCTGACCCGAGCAGAGGCCAAGGGGGTACGCTTGTATGTGAGTGTGTGCATGTGTATTGTGGCTGAAGGGTAGATATTGATGGGAAATACCACATACTGACCAGCACCTGAGTGTTGAAAAGGAATGGAAGTGGGGACATGAGATGAAGGAAGAGGAAAGACGGAAGAAATCAGAAGTAGCGGTTTGCAACTAAGAGCAGTTAAAATGTAAAGATGAGATTGATGCAATAGTTCAGTTCATTCAGAACTATTGAAACTATTGATTGAGTAGTTCAGACAGGATGATGAAACACACCTACACACACACACCCCAACCTAAGTTCATGCTTGCTTCACCCTGAGTCCAAAGCTCTTATGCTAAGGTTGGATCAAATCCAAGTTTATTTGTGTCTCTGTCTTACCCAGTTTACCTAATTCTCTCCATCTTTAAGTTTGTTTGGTGCCACCTTCTGGTAGGCCCAGTTCTATGAAGTTTGACTATTCCTTCCTGCCCCCCAGTCTCTGACATGTCCTCAAGTGAAAGATGAGGTCATGAGGGACCCCGGGACTTGCCTGCACAGACTCCTCTGGCTTCCAACATCTGCAGGCCCTAGTATAAGCTCCGGAGAGGCCTTATGATGTGAGGATAGTGAGGAACCGGACCATTTTGTTCCATAAGAAACAACCTATTAAGTATAGAGTACTGTGGTGCAAATTATGCCATGATTGTGTTTTCTTGGTTCACATTTATTTTACTTAGTTTTTTGAACCCTAACCATAACCCTAACCCTACTTGTTTTTTTTCTGAACTGCACTAACATTTATTTTAAACTTTAAAGAATTTGCACTGCTTTAGACTGTTGTTCTATATTTAGGGTGTTGCCTTTACACTTTAAAAAAAATATAAGCTCACTTTTGTGTTTGAGTAAGAGACACCCTTCTGTTTAAAAATATCTTAGGAGTAAGCAAAATATCTTAGGAGGAAGCAAAACATCCAACAGTGAAGATACTTTGGTTAATACAGTTGTTCCCCACTTCCCTGTCTCACCCACTCAATTCCCCTTTCCTCTTGTGCCCTAAGAGACCCAGAAGACCCGTCCAAGACCCCCAATAAGGGGATACAGTTTCCAAGCTGCTGCACCGGGCACTTTGTAGGCCACTGGGAAACTGGATGAGGCTCCATCTGTTTACAGAAATGAACACATGCACGATGATTTATATCTCTAGATAGAGTTTTCAGGACTTTTTGTTTTGCTCATTTGCTAATTTTCAAAACCGGAGCATATTTTTCTTGTTTGACTTTACATTTTTTCAGTTAAACATTATACATGTTTATGAAAAAAAGGATAATATAATAGAAAAAATGTCTTGTAGGATCATGAGACTATAGATAATGATTTGTCCTTTTATTTTCCCAAATGTTCTCAATTGTAAGAGCAAAAAGGCTCAGGAAAATTGAGATGAGTTGGTGAACTGTAATATTTTGTGAAATAATAGCCCAAGTTTTTATAAGGTTTGATAGAAATGAACAATAACGTAGGACTTGTAATAATGTGCGACAGAGTGAGACTCCGTCTCAAAAAAAATGTACTAAAATTCTAATAATTAATAGTAAGCTGTAATAGCTTTTTAGCACTTTAAGCAAGGTGCGCCCCTCCGTTAGGCTTCTACCTTCCACAGAACTGGTTGATAGGGATGATATCTTTCTTGATAATTACATTTCAAAGGGATGGCTTCCAGGTCTTTGAGAAAGACTGTCCTGGGATGTAAACAAAGACCTGTCCTGGGATGTAACACTAGCAAGAAGCGTTTAAAAAAGATTTACATCTCAAAGGGGCTGATAAAGAATTTACAATGACAAGTTCTCTGAATAAAATGCTTTAAGAAAAAGGAAGAAAGGGCCTAGAGGCAGGAGGAAGCCTGTTTAGTTTGTTTATTTAGTCAAGTTTGGGTTGTCTAAAGTTTATTCAAGCTGAGGGGAATGTTAAGACTCTCTTAGCCAGGAGGAATCAAAAATCAATGCACCTAATTAAAAGTGCTCACCCGATGACCAGATTGGGGCTTCATATTTTATATCCACACCTATGGGCTTTCTTTGCCACTCCATAACCCAGTTTCAGCAGCTCTTGGGGAAAATGGGACATCTGTTTGGAGTCACCTTGAAAAGTAATGTATTTTTGTCTTTCCGGTAGCCCCATATTTTAGGTCAGCCTATTTCAAACAAACTCTCCACATTTGGTGAAATGAATCTAGCTATTTTCACAGGACGTGATGACAGAAATAGTTTTTATTGATAAAGAACTACATTTATAAGTTTAAAACATTCTTTATAGATTATGTTGTAGACATTAAACTGAAAGATAATGAGCAGCAATGGGGGGATTTTGTGTGATGATTAAGAATTCAGGCTCTGGAATCAAACTGTGGGTTCCAAGTGTTTATGACTACTTGAGGGTTCTGGAATGAGTTACTAAACCTCACTCAGTCTTCTCATCTCTAAAGTGGGGCAATAATTGTACTGACCTCATGTGTTGTTGGGTAATAATGGAAAGTGCTGAAAATAGTACCTGGCACCAAGATTTTTGTTGTTGTTGTTTGTTTTGTTTTTGTTTTGTTTTGTTTTGTTTTCTGAGATGGGGTCTCACTCTGTTGCCCAGGCTGGAGTGCAGTGGCACGATCTTGGCTCTCTGCAGCCTCCACCTCCTGGGGCTCAAGCGATTCTCCGGCATCAGCCTTCCAAGTAGCTGGGATTACAGTTGCCCACCACCGTGCCTGGATAATTTTTGAATTTTCAATGGAGATGTGGTTTCACCTTGTTGGCCAGGCTGGTCTCAAACTGTTGACCTCAAGTGATCTGCCCACCTCAGGCTTATAAAATGCCGGGATTACAGGTGTGAACCACCACACCCATCCGCACCAAGACCTTTTGGCTGCTGCTACACCAAGGGAGCAAGTAAGCAGGTCTTGGAGAGTGTCTGTGCCCCTGTTGCTAAGAGGAGTACCAGTCATGGGCCCTGAGATTGGCTATTTTATGAATAAACCAGTGTTTTTGTTTCGTATTGGTGTGGTAACCCTTTACCACACATTTAGTGGCTGAAAACAACACACATTTGTTATCTTACAGGTCTGGAAGTCCTAAGTCCAAAATGGTACAGCAGAGCAATGTTATTTTTGGGAATCTCTAGGAGAAAATCTGTTTCTTTGCTTTTTCTGGCTTCTCAAGGAGGTCACATTCCTTCATCAGTGGCCCCTACCCCTCTGACCTCTGCTTCCGTCCTCATGTCTCCATCTCCGACTCTGACCCTCCTGCGTCTCTCTTATAAGGACCCTCATGATTCCATTGAGTCCACTGGGATAACTCAGGATAATCTCACATCTCAAAATACTTAATTGAGTACCATTTGCAAAGTCCTTATTGCCAGGGAAGATCATGTTGTCACGTTTTGGGAATTAGGAGTGGAAGTCTTTTGGGGGGTGGTTATTCCACCTACCACCTCAGTGTCTACTGACTCGGGGACGAATGACTGTGTGGCCACAGGAGGGCTTGGCTGATGTGCTTTTCTGTGCTGTGCCTTTGATGCAGACCTTCCCTGATGGATGACCTCTGTGAAGCAAATGGCACTTTTGCCATCAGCTTATTTAAAATATTAGGGGAAGAGGACAACTCAAGAAACGTATTCTTCTCTCCCATGAGCATCTCCTCTGCCCTGGCCATGGTCTTCATGGGGGCAAAGGGAAGCACCGCAGCCCAGATGTCCCAGGTATGTGTGCGTGTCGCAAAGGAAGGAGAACGGCATGTTTCCCTGTGCTTCCATCGAATTGTCTTTCTGTACTTTTGCTACAGCTGATGAAAGCCTGTGGAGCTGGAGGTGGAAAGGGGAGCAGCACGGCAGTGGAGAAGAGCAGAAAGGGGTAGAAAGGTGAAATATGTTAGACAGATCACCTCCTCCGATATTTTTGAGAGAAATCAAGGCATAGAGTTATTTTCTCTAGATCAGACCATCAGTACAGTCTGGCAAATTCACACCTTTGATAAGTAAGATAAACTATCATTCTGTCCCTCAAGAAGGCAACATATTCCAACCTTGTTACATTTTAAACTTTTGCTAACATTATATTTTAAATAGACATGCAACTGCCTAGATTAACTTTTTGTTAAGTGGGTTATTTTTAGTGCACGATTATGCATCCTGGGAAAGGAATGTAATACAAGCATAGACTTATATCTTCTGGAGTGATTTAGAGGAATATATAATCTGTTTGATTCAAACTGGTGATTATATATAACCTTATCTACAAACGAGGTGGGAGATAATACTTTAGGAATAGTTCTCTGACTATTGGTGAAAATGTCCGAGATAATTGCCAAATGGATGTCACTTTACCACCAATATCAGGGGTGTATAGACAATCTCCTAAAATGCACCTAGGGACCCCAGTTGACATCCTTCTGTGGTTGTTTCTTTCAACTGATTGGAGGAGTGAGGCTTCGGGCTGCAGGTGATTGAGAGATATAGGAACAACCTTAATTCTCACTCTGACTTGACGTTTAATTTATAATATGGTCTGGAGAACTTCTGTAAAATTGCAGATGAAACATTTTTAGTTTTATTGCTGCTTTTGTTTGTATTACGTGAGTCGTAATTCATCCCAGTTACTTTTTTCTGCTCTGCCTTCCCCCTGAATTATTGCACAGTGCCTTGCTGGGATGAATACATTTGCTAGACTAGTGGTTGGGGGTGGGAGGTAGGGGTCGGTGATGGGAGGTAGGGGTCGGTGGGTGGATTTTTCCTTCCTGGGGACCCTTGCCAAGACCTGGAGTTTTAGATCCCATAACTGAGAGGTGCTACTGACATCTAGTGGATAGAAGCCAGAAGTGCTGAAAAATCCTACAACGCTTATGTGAGACCAGGAAGTGTCCTGGCCCCAAGTGTCAGTGCTACGTTGCCCACGTTGAGAAACCCTGTGCTAGAGAATTAGGCCAAACCTTTTTAGAGTAGGATCCTGTGTGATTTTTTTAGTACAGAGGTTTGTTCGGAGGAAGCTCTTTGGGAGAGCATAATGGCAGTGTTAAAAGTCAGTGTTGGTTTCTGTTCCCAGGCACTTTGTTTGTACAAGGACGGAGATATTCACCAAGGTTTCCAGTCACTTCTCAGTGAAGTTAACAGAACTGGCACTCAGTACTTGCTTAGAACTGCAAACAGGCTCTTTGGAGAAAAGACGTGTGATTTCCTTCCAGTAAGTAGTATTCATATATTGATGAAAAAGAAATGGAAAATAAGTTAGACTACAGAAGAGTAGAGAATCAAGTATAACTGTACTGACTTAAAATGTGCTTGGAATTATACTTCTGAAATTACAATTTTAGATTTTATGATGGCTTCTGAATTATGTCCTTTGTAAATTGTTTCTGATATACCCTTCCCTGTTATCAATCCCAATATGTCAGTTCTCCTGCACGCAGCCCTGCTTCTCCCCCTTAATTCCCTATGCCTGAGTGACTACATCATTTGATGTGCTGTACAGAGCTCCTCCCCAGTCCCATGTGTGGTTATTGGCCTGCCTCCTGCTGAGATAGCCTCTCAAATTCTCTTAAATTTGCCCCCTCTTCTGAATTGCATCTACAACTGGCACAATTGTCTTTCTAAAATGAAAATCTGTTCATAAAACTGAGGTTTTAAATTTAAGTAATTCCTATTTACTTAGGCATGTAATTCTAAGGTTCCCGAGTCCAGCCTGGCATAATACAATCAGTGAGGTTCAAAAATTATGCCACATAATATGCAGGGTGATGTTGTCTGGAAATTATTGAACCAATCACAGCAAACTGGGCCATCCTATTGGCTGGAGGTTCTGAGAGGGCTCCTCTAAGGTTCAAATACATCCCTGTCCTGGTAGCTGCTGGGGGCTGTTCCTGGAATGTGCCTGCTCTGGGTTTATCTACCTTAGAAAGTGATTCTGGATCCAGGAATTTCCTGGTGAATCCATTTCATTTTTGAACTTCAGCCTGATCTTCTACTGTTATAATATTGGGGACACAGGGAACCAACCTCTACTTTTCTTGGTGGCTTGTCTCTTCCTTCCCTCTATATCCCCATTATTTGGCCGAAATTAAAGTATTTGAGAACATGGAATGGACAGAGGCTGGGAGCCAGTTTCCAGGCCTGTTATATCTGAAGCCAGGTTTTTGTGAGGTGAGTTATCTGGGTTTTAATGTATTGGGTATGGGCCTTTTCTGATTGGACCCCAACTTACATTTCAAGGCTCTTTCCCTGCCACTGTTTCCCTTAATCCCCTTCCTGATACACACAAACACACATACATGTGTACACACACACACATACAAACGTACATGCAATCCACACACATGCAGGTGCACAAGCACACACATATGCAGCCATGCACACAGATGTTCACATGCACGCACATGTATGGACCCAGTTGCACATACACCCTATGATCCAGGCCTATCACCCTCCGTTCCCATGGGGCCTTCCTTGCTCTGTATTCTTCCAACCAACCGTATGACCCAGATCTAAAATGCTATTTCCTTCTTTGCAGTTCAACACGATTTCTTAACCATCTAGTTCCCTTATAAAGCCTCTCATTTACCCAAAACCACAATACCGTAGTCTGTGCTGGTGATGCAAAATAAGTAACAGTGTGTTAGACTGCCTAGTGAGGGAAGCAATATTAACGTCAGTGCAGTGTTTGACAGGGATGCTTCTGGGCTGTTATGTGGATAGTGGCAGCTCATGATGTCCTGTAAGTGTCTGGGTGTCTCAGCTGCCTCTTCTCAGGCTGTGGACCTCCTCAAACCAAGCGCTTTGCCCAGTACCAGGGAAGAATAGGTTTTCGTTCATTGCACGCATGCACCATAAAGTGCAGTGTGACCGACCTGTCCAAGCACCTACGGTAGAAACGCAGTAAGAGAAAACAAAATGCTTTTGCATTTGTGGGAGCCTTTACCCAATGAGACCAAACTCAGTGTTTTGTGTTTGCAGGACTTTAAAGAATCCTGTCAGAAGTTCTATCAGGCAGAGCTGGAGGAGTTGTCCTTTGCTGAAGACACGGAAGACTGCAGGAAACATATAAATGACTGGGTGGCAGAAAAGACTGAAGGTGAGACAGTTTCATTTCTGTGGATTTGGAATTGCTATGCAGCGAGGCTGAGATTGGCTGGGATGGGACCTCCATGGTGTTGCCACTGTGACCTGCTTACCACAGGCCTGTTTGTGTGTATTGCTGAGTTTGCAGGCCAACAATGCAATTCTGTCATTTCTTATCAGATCATGAAGTACTAATTTCTAAAACTAATGTTGAATCTCAGACCTCCTTCCCTGTGGACCATGCTGGAAAATCCCTGGAAAATAGTTCCTCCTTGGAATCCTGTTAATCTTCTCTCTGAGAGGCCCTTCCATGCTCGGAGACGGAATGGCGTTCAATTAAGTTGCAGCTTAAAGAGGGCTCTCATGTTATCTCCTCCCTGTGGTCATGGGGACAACTTAGTAGTTTGATCTGCAGCCTTCTCCTTCCTTTTTAACTTGGCCGTGGCTACGTTTGCTCTCTGAGTGCGGCCTTTTCTGAATTTGCTCCCTATTCTGGACGTGCAGCAACATGGAGCCTGCAGTGTTCCCTGCCCAGACCACACTCCATCCCACCAGAAATATTTCTGCCAGTTCTTTACTTCAGTAGGAAAAATGGGGAGGCATCCTTGAAAGCATCCTAAATACCTAACAAGTAATTTAGGTACTTGTAAAGAGTGGAGGAATTAAGTCACGTGTTTCAGGGGCCAACCTAGCCCTCATTATTGCATGCGTTCCATCTCTATGTCACAACCACTGTGTGTCTAACAGAAGTAATGCCCGTGGTTCTACTGAAAGCCAATAAAATAATTACCATGGGAAGGGAAGAGCCTTTCGTGTTTTCATATGTCATCTGCCCAGTGGTCTCTCCAGTTGTTCCAGCAGTACTGTCACCTGAGGAATCTAGAAGCTTCTCCACACCTTCCCCCCACTGCTCTATACCTGTCACTTCTCTTCCAGGGCTGCTTATACCCTTCCTTCCATTAGGCTGACCCCCAGAATATTAGAGCTGGAGGGCACCTTGGAGATGACCTTGTTATCCTCTCATTGGACAGCTCAACTTGGGCCCCTCTATTCCATCCCCCTAATTCCTTTGCCCCATTCACCCCTTTCAGAAACGCTGCCTTCTTCCATTGACAGGTCTGTGTTCTCTCATCCTTTGGAAGCCTTTCCTTGTCTGATGAGGTTAGAATATATGTATAGAGCAATGATCCTCAACTAGGGGTGGCTTTGCCCTCCAGGTGCCATTGGATAATGGCTGAAGACAGTCTTGGTTGTCAAAATTGGAAGAAATGCTGCTGGCTAAACGTCCTACAATGCCCAAGACAGCCCCCATAACAAAGAATTATTTGGCTTAAGATGACAATAGTGGTGAGGCTTGGATATGATAGTGCCAAGGTTGACTACCCCATAGTCAGAATCAAGACTCTGAGGTGATGTTCTCAACTCAGCCACTTGTCACCTGTGTGCACTCGGCAAAAAAGTCTGGCAAATGCTCTGATCCTGAATTTCTACATCCGTAAATTGAGGGCAAAATGATAGTTGCCCTTCCTACTTCAAGGCTTTTTTCTTAAGCACGAACGATACACTGTGTATGCCACACTGCTAAACACCATCACCCAATTCATCGGGTGGCCAGAAAGACAGAACTCCAGGCTCTCTCTCAAGCCCCTGCCTTAGGCGTCAAAGGGATTTTTGTAAAATAATGCTTGTTTCCCCACAAATTGCAATAAACTCTCATATTCTTTACAGGTAAGATTTCAGAGGTACTGGATGCTGGGACAGTCGGTCCCCTGACAAAGCTGGTCCTTGTGAATGCCGTCTATTTCAAGGGAAAGTGGAATGAGCAATTTGACAGAAAGTACACAAGGGGGATGCTCTTTAAAACCAATGAGGTAGGGAAAGAGTTTTCAGATATACTGCTATTTTCTTAAAGTAATATTACAGGAAATATTCTTTTAGAAAAATGAATAATTTATTTGACATGATCTTGATTTTAATCTATTTCTGAATTATATTATTTTATTTTCTTTGAGACAGGGTCTCTTTCTGTCACCCAGGCTGGAGTGCAGTGGTGTAATCTCAGCTCACTGCAGCCTCGACCTCCCAGGCGCAAATGATCACCCAACCTTAGCTTCCCAAGTAGCTGGGACTACAGGTGCACACCACCAGGCCTTGCTAATTTTTGTATTTTTTGTAAAGACAAGATTTTTGTCATATTGCCCAGGTTGGTCTCGAACTCCTGGCCTCAAGTGATACACCTGCCTTATCCTCCCAAAGTTCTGGGATTACAGGCATAAGCCACTGTGCCTGGCTTTTTTTCTGAATGAATTGAATGCCTCCTGTATGTCTTTAATGGCGGAAGGAGGAGAGAAGCAAAACTAATTTTGGTGTTGATGGTTTTGTTTTTCCAACTTTGATCAAATCTACCTTCCATCTCTGGTCATATGATTTGGATTGGAGGAGAATTTCTTCTAAGCCTTAGAATTATGTTTACATGATGCTATTACTGTCTATAGCTAGTTAGATACCTTTTTGCAATATCAGTGGCAACTATGCCTGTTTATTGCCTTAAAAATCAAAGTTATACAATCCTGAACACAAGAAAAAGATGTTAGCAGATGTAAAGCCCTAACTTTACATTCCCTTTTGAATATGAAAATGACTGGTATCAATAGTTGTTAACTTGGGATTTGACATCCATCAACCTGATAATTTCATATTGCACAAAGATATGAAAGTTAAAAATATATTTGATGCAGGCTTTAAAAACAGCAGACCTTACACATCTCTTCGAGGTCCCCTTCCCAAGAAAACCAAGGCCATAAAACCAATTCTACACGTGGGCAACTTTTCAGAGTTTGTACTGTACCTCCTTTTTTCTAACCAGATCCTTCAGCCCAAGAGCCTGAATATTTACCTTAATTTCAATAAATAATTTTTAGTTGGAGGCTTCCATGAGAAAGCTTCTCTATGAATGTTCTCAAAAAAGCAAACACAACTTCTTCCAAGAATAATGTAGATTTTTATGCCCTTCTCCATTTACCGAACTGTTTTTTTTTTCCCTCACCTGGTAATAGTTGATTTGCTGGAACAATAGTTTGTTCTCTTCATACTAAGATGTACTAATGAAGATTTTATATCCATCAGCATAAATGTGCAGAAACAGAAATTACACACACCTAGAGTTTCTGTGAGTTAGATGTATCCTATTTTTAGTAAATTATGCCCATTTTTCAGTGATCTAATTTTAATTTCATGTTTCTATTAGGAAAAAAAGACAGTGCAGATGATGTTTAAGGAAGCTAAATTTAAAATGGGGTATGTGGACGAGGTGCACACCCAGGTCCTGGAGCTGCCGTATGTGGAAGAGGAGCTGAGCATGGTCATTCTGCTTCCCGATGATGACACGGACCTCGCTGTGGTAAGCTCCAGGCAGTGAGTCTTTGAGTGTCTATGGAGTCCAGCCGAGCTCATTTCTTTACGTCCATCTACCAGTTGGCATTTGAGGAGTTTCCAACTGGGGTTATTACGTATAGTGCTGGGTGAACATCATTGCTTGTCTTTTGGTGAATATGTTCATGCTTTTCTGTTGAGTGTATACATATATGAGTGGACAGGTTTTGATGAACCTAAGAAGAGAGAGTTCTAAATATATTGTTAATTGGAATATTCTTTTTTTATTATTATTATACTTTAAGTTCTAGGGTACATGTGCACAACGTGCAGGTTTGTTACATATGTATACATGTGCCATGGTGGTGTGCTGCACCCATCAACTCGTCATTTACATCAGATATAACTCCCAATGCAATCCCTTCCCCCTCCCCCCTCCCCATAATAGGCCCCGGTGTGTGATATTCCCCTTCCCATGTCGAAGTGATCTCACTGTTCAATTGCCACCTATGAGTGAGAACATGCGGTGTTTGGTTTTCTGTTCTTGCGAAAGTTTGCTGAGAGTGACGGTTTCCAGCTGCACCCATGTCCCTACAAAGGACACAAACTCATCCTTTTTTATGGCTGCATAGTATTCCATGGTGTACATGTGCCACATTTTCTTAGTCCAGTCTGTCACTGATGGACATTTGGGTTGATTCCAAGTCTTTGCTATTGTGAATACTGCTGTAATAAACATACGTGTGCATGTGTCTTTACAGCAGCATGATTTATAATCCTTGGGTATATACCCAGTAATGCGATGACTGGGTCAATGGTATTTCTATTTCTAGATCCTTGAGGAAACGCCATACTGTTTTCCACAATGGTTGAACTAGTATACAATCCCACCAACAGTGTAAAAGTGTTCCTATTTCTCCACATCCTCTCCAGCACCTGTTGTTTCCTGACTTTTTAATGATTGCCATTCTAACTGGTGTGAGATGGTATCTCATTGTGGTTTTGATTTGCATTTCTCTGATGGCCCTGTCTCTTATACACATCTAGATGTGTATAAGAGACAGGAATGTTACCAGCTCCTCCTTGTACCTCAGGTAGAATTCGGCTGTGAATCCATCTGGTCAATTGGAATATTATTCTTTATTCTGCATGGAAGATCTACTTGAAAGCCCAATAATTATTGCACAAAAGTCCCGGAAGAGGGTAGAGATCAATCTGGGCAGTGATTCTCAAACATTAATGCACATATATGATTCTAGTGATCTTGTTAAAGTGCAGATTTTGATGCAATGGAGTGTGGCCTGAGGTCTTGCATTTGGAACAAGATTCCAAGTGATACAGATGCTTGGGACCACACTATGAATAGCAAAAGTCTAAAGTACAAGTGGGAAATTTACCTTATACAAGAGGAGAGAAAAGTCTTACTATGACAGAAAAGGAGCAGAGTCCAGGAAGGGAAAAGGAAAACTTGCAAGGTAAGAGGTGCAAGACTAATAGTGCACTGGTAAACCAGCTCTGGGAGGTGGGAGTAGCCTTCATTTACAAAGTTTGCTGATTCTCATGACATGGTAAATACTCCCACCATGGCTGACTTCAGGCTATGAAGGATTTAACGATCGATAGAAGCCAGCTCTGGCACACAAGTGCTCAGGATGTCGAGGGTGGGCTGCTTGATTTCCCTGGCTTCCCTTTGGAATCAGAAAGCTACTGTCCTAAGTCAGGGATGACATCTGTTGTGGCTACTTATGAGAAAATTAGGAGAGTCTAGAAATAGAGTCAAAATCAAAACAATGCTCATTGGAGAAGAGCACCCACCTGGGCTCCAGTTGGTAAAGGGAAGGGGAGATGCGAGTGGAAGGCCCTTCTCCCTTTTTCCTTTCTACCTTATTGATAAATACAAAGAGTGATGGATCTTGAAGAATTTGAAGCTAACTCCAGGACAGGCAGAGGACAAACAAGGATACCAGATGAAGTCTTGTTGAATTCCACATTTCTCGTCTCGTGCTCCCTTCTCATGCCTCCCTTCATCTTTAGATGAAACCCAATTCCCTCTCCTTTGCTCTGTAAGAGTTGCTGTCTGATTTAACCCTGAATAGTCCCCTGATTAGACTCAGAAGCAGAGTTCTGAGCCGTGCTCTTGTCTTTTGTCAAACAATCTCTCCCACTCACAGTAATATGTACTGAGTGAAGATTAATGTAATGAATTGGTTAGAATTTTCTAAACTGTTAAAAAATGTTTTTAACATTTGAAAGGAGTTAGGTACAAATTGTTTTTATTAAAAATTTCTGCCTGTCTCAGGTGTTTACTAGCTCTTTTACACTTGTCTCCATAAAACCTGGAAAAGATGAAGATTTGGGAGAAAATCTTGGTGTTTATAAAAGAAAATATCTGTAGATTTTCTTGGACCAGAACTTACCATCTAGTTGCATGTCATTAGTGGAGGGGTAATAAAATGGGTGTGCGGGTATCAGGCTATTGTCATCTAAATATTAAGGTTTGGCTCTTTCTTATCCTAGGTGGAAAAAGCACTTACATATGAGAAATTCAAAGCCTGGACAAATTCAGAAAAGTTGACAAAAAGTAAGGTTCAAGTTTTCCTTCCCAGATTAAAGCTGGAGGAGAGTTATGACTTGGAGCCTTTCCTTCGAAGGTTAGGAATGATCGATGCTTTTGATGAAGCCAAGGCAGACTTTTCTGGAATGTCAACTAAGAAGAATGTGCCTGTGTCCAAGGTTGCCCACAAGTGCTTTGTGGAGGTCAATGAGGAAGGCACAGAGGCTGCCGCAGCCACTGCTGTGGTCAGGAATTCCCGGTGTAGCAGAATGGAGCCAAGATTCTGTGCAGACCACCCTTTCCTTTTCTTCATCAGGCACCACAGAACCAACTGCATCTTTTTCTGCGGCAGGTTCTCTTCTCCGTAAAGAGGAGCAATTGCTGTACATGCCCTCCTTTCCTTCTGCCTACCTTGCCTTAATTAACATTCCGTGTGACCCAGTTGGTGCAGTGGCTTGAATGCCAAAATAAAGCGTGTGCACTGAATAGTGTGTGAATGTCTTTGCTGAAGGTTCCGGAGCCACTGAGAATAACTGAGGCCACGGATGCCTGAAATTTGGGCCTGGGAAGGCTATGCTGGTTTTGGAGTGTTTGGGGTGCCTCCCATTGCCTCTGCCTTCACTTAAGTCTGTGCCCATTGTTTCAGGGGATCTTACGGAGCATCTCAGGGCTTCAGGAGCCAGCCCTCTATGTGCTCTTCTGTCTGCCCAGCTCTGCCCATCACCACTGCCATGCTGAACAGGGACCAGTGCCCAGGTAACACTGCACACAAAGCGAAGGGCAAACCCTACAGAGTAAAGCTGCAACCACCCTGTGTCTCACATGCAGCTGAAATAGTGGTCTGCTTCTGCCACTGTCGCATAGACAGCTCTGCATGCCCCCGTCTCACACAGTCTGTAATGAAAACAGCTCCTTCTTTTCTTTCCATAAACTTCAGATACAAGTTGAGGGACTCAGCAATACACTTCAGGACTGAGGTAGGAGGCAAATATCTGAAACTTGCTATGCCGTCCTTTCTATTCCTTTTCCCTCTGAAATACACAAAATACCAAAGGAACTTACACAGCACACCACTGAGTCCTCTAACTCATCATATGTGCTCAAACATGGCTCAAGCACACCCCTTCAGAAAGAACCTCCATACATTACATTTTTTCTGACTAAAAATAAAATTGTATTGTGGCAGCAATTTGGAAACTACAGCAAAGTCTCCAAAAAAATTTAAGTCCCCCACAATTCTAACACACAGCAATCACTGCTGTTAATACTGATATACATCCTTCCTATTATATGTATGCAAATAGAAACTTATAAGCATTTTATTACAAGTTAATCATATCCTTCAGTAGCTTATTTCTTCCGTTACTTATGAAAAACCTCCCTTAAGATCTTTCCAGGTCATCAGTTTCATGTGCATAGTATTCCACTGTGTGGCTGGATTTCTATAATTGAATCTAATTTTAGACAGTTTGAGTAATTAAAATTTTTTCTATTAATAAATAATAGATTATTAATAAATATATATACTTATATATATCATATGATATATAAGTATATAAATATTTAGTATATCCAAAACAAGTATCATATATAATGATAAACAAGTATCATTATATATGATACTTGTTTTGGATATACTAAATATTTGCTCACATCCTTAATATATTTTTAAAAATTCCTAAGAATAGTATTGTCGAGATAAAAGTTGAGCACGTTTTGAGACTTCTTCCAAATTGGTCCCTAGAAAGTTCCACTGGTTTATACACTCACTTATGTCACCGTTTATACCACCACTAACTGCTGCCTGCTTTATTATTTCTTTAATGAGTTGGACTAAACAGTGGTTACTCCTGACTCTGTTTTTGACTGACGGTTAACAGTTACATGAACCATTCATATTACAGCTCTTACTTAAATTTGACCAAGCTAGGATATATTCTGTGAGGCCACATTCATTTCAGGGATCATGTTTTCCAAAGCAGGTTTGGCTAAAAATTAATCCACAGGACTGAAAGGTATACATCTGTGAGTTTTGTTCTCACTTCCACCTCTAATTTGAAGAAAACTTTATACTTTTATTGCAGTACAATCGACACAGAATACATTTCACATATTTAACCTATACAATAAGTTCTGACACATTTTCCATGAAACAAACCATCACTATATTCAAGATAATGAACCTATCTATCATACTCCCAAATTCCTTCTTGTATCTTTGTAATTTCTCACTCTTCCTTCTCCCTCTTCCCGTCCCATCCCAACCACTGATCTGTTCGGACAACTACCGGTCTTCTTTCTGTCACTATAGAATAATTTGCATATTCAAAGAAATTTACATGCATGGGACCATGCCATCATCTATGCTTTGTAGTATGACTCCTATCAGTACAATTATTTTGAGATTCATTTATGTTACCGTATATATCAATAGTTTGTTCCTTTTATTGGTAAGTAACATTTCTTTGTATAGATATACCATGATTTGTTGATTAACAAATTTACTTGTTGATGAACATTTAGGTTGTTACTGAGATTTTCACTACTGAAAATATAGTTTTAATGAACATTTATGTATATACATCTTTGTATGGACGTATGTGTTCATTTCTTTTGTATATAGATACATAGAAGTAGAATGGCTGGGTCATATGGAAGGTATAAGTTTAACTTTTTAAGGATCTGCCAAATTGCCTTCCAAAGTGGTTGTATCATTTAACATTCCCAGTAGAGCCTAGCAGAGTTCTGGTTGTTCTGCCTCCTCACTAACACTTGGTACTACCAGTGTTGTTACTTTCAGTGTGTACCGGTTTTAGGTTGCATTTCCCTAATGCCTGATTATGTTCAGCATTTTAAAAAACGTGCTTATATACCATCCATTTATGTTATTTGATGAAATGTCTTTTTAAGTGTCTCATCAATATTTTATTGCTTCCTGCTTTATTTTTTATTTATTTATTTTTTGAGAGAGAGTCTCTCTCCGTTGCCTCAGCCCCCCGAGTAGCTGTGACTACAGGCGTGTGCCACCACACCCAGCTAATTTTTGTATTTTTAGTAAAGACAGGGGTTCCCCATGTTGGCCAGGCTGGTTTTGAACTTCAGACCTCAGGTGATCTGCCCACCTTGGCCTTCCAAAGTGCTGGGATTACAGGCATGAGCCACCGCACCCAGCCTTTTGTTTTCTTATTGTATTTTGAGAAATCTCATGATTTGACTACCAAATCTTTTATCATATATGGGATTTGCAAACATTTTTCTCCCAGCTCATGGCTTCAATTTTCATTTTTATAACAGTGCCTTTAAAAAGCAGAAGTTCTTGGTTTTGATGAAGTCCATTTGATCATTTTGTTTCTTTGTTTATGCTTAATGCTTTTGTTGTCATATTGAAGGAATGCTTTGCCTAACCCAAGGTCACAAGGATCTCCTATGTTTCTTCTAGAAGTGTTACAGGATTTGATTTTCCTTTTTGGCCTATGATCAATTTTGAGTTCATGTTTTGCATATGATGAAAAAGCTATCCATTTTCCACTGAACTGCCTTTGCATCTTTGTCAAAAATCAGCTGATCATGGATGTGTGATTCTATTTCTGGATTCTATTGGATTCCATTGATCTGCTTGTCTATCTTGATGTCAATTCCACATCGTCTGAATTACTGTAGCTTAATAATAAGTTTTGAAAACACTTAAGTGACATGTTTTCCAACTTTATTTTTCAACGTTGTTTTATCTGCTTTCAGTCCTCGATCTTTCCCTGTGAATTTTATAATTTGCTTGTTGACTTGTACAAAGCCTGCTGCAATTTTGATTAGGATTGTGTGAATTCTAAACATCAGTTTGGAGAGAATAGACATGTTAGCAATATTGAGTCTTCCAACCCATGAGCAAGGTAAGTCTCTAATTTCTTTTAGGTTTTTATTAATTAGTCTCAGCATAGTTTTGTAGTTTTCGGTATACACATCTGGCACAAATTTTGTCAGATTTATCCTTAAGTATATCCTGTTTTGTTCTATTATAAGTGGTGTTGCTTTTTAATTTCAATTTCTGATTAATTATTGCTAGTATATGGAAATATAATACAGGTTTTTTTTTTTTTTTTTTTGTATCTCAGCCTTGTATCTTGCAAACCTGCTAAAATCACTTAGTTCTAGTAGCTTCGTTTCTAGTTCCATGTCTGCTAATAAAGACAGATTTTCTTTCTTTCCCATTTAGATAGCTTTTTTTTTCCTTGCCTTATTGCACTGACTTGATTAGAAGTAGTGAAAACAGACATCCTTGTCTGGTTCCTGATCTTAGGGGAAAGCACGAAGGCTCCCATCATTAAATGTGATATTAGCTGTAGGCTTTTCATAGGTGTCCTTTAACAGGTGAAGAAGGTTTCTTTTATTCCTAGTTTGTTGTGTTTATATCAGGAATAGATGTTGGGTTCTGTCAAATGCTTTTTTGTATCTTTTAGATGATCATATGGTTTCGTTAATATTGGGATTAATTTTTGAATGTTGAAACAATCTTGTGTTACTGGGATAAACTCCACTTGGTCATGATGTATTTCCTATTTTGTCTAGTATTGGATGCAATTTGTTAAAATAGTTTTAGAACGGCTCATCTCCATTCATGAGAGACATTGGTCTGTATTCTTCCTATTTTGTAATATCTTTGTCTCATTTTGGTTTTAGATAATTCTGGTCTCAAAGAATGAGTTGAGAAACATACCTACCTTTGCAACTTTCTGGAACAGATGTTGTGCAATTGGTATTACGTCTTCCTTTAATGTTTGGTGAAGCCATCTGAGACTGGAGTGGCTTTATACTACAACTGTAATTCATTAATAGGTAGTGAACAATTCAAATTACATATTTCTTTTTGAGTTAGCTTTGGTAGCTTGTGTCTTTCAAGGAATTTGTTAATTTCCTAGTCATCAAATTTAGTGGTGTAAAGTTGTTTATAACAGTCTCTTATTTTTCTTTTAATAACTATAAAATCTGTAGTGATACCATCGCTCTCATTTCTGAGATTAGTAGCTTGTGCCTTTTTTTTCTTTTCTGATCACTATGACTAGATGTTGATAAATTTTATTGCTCTTTCTCAGAACCAGCTTATGGTTTCATTGATTTTCACTATTGTTTTTCTGTCCACAACATTGATTTCTGCTTTGATCTTTATTATTTCTTTTTTCTCATTACTTTACATTTAATTTTTTCAGTTTTTGGTGTAACCAGCCATGATCCCTGGTGTACTGAACAAAAGAGGATGGGAATAAAAGACAAAGACAAAAGAGTATATTTGCAAGAAGGGGTCAGGGGGCACCTTGCCTCTAGTGGGTAAGGGCCTTGAGCTTTTGCAGTCCTCCATATTTATTAGGTAAAAGAGATAGCGAGAAAAGGAGGGGTGATTGTGGGTAATTGTTGGTCTGCCGTTTGGTTCACAGCAGGCTTGCAAGACTGCATCCTTTGAACAATAGGTGCTAGATTTCCCAGTAGATAACT